CCTTTGTAAAAGTAAGGGACGTTCGGCAGGGAAATGGTAATGACTGCCAGGTGAAGAGTAAGTTGCTAATAAGGTATTATTACGTGCTCCTAATTCCCCCTGGGTATTTTTACTTTTTTTTTAAACAATTGTCATAACAAAAAATTTCTAAACATGTTCAAAATAACGTGTAATGATTAAATGTTATCAGTTTTTATAAAAAAATTAAACCCCCAGTAAAAATTCATATCAAAACTATATGAAGGTACAATTGTACCTTTGCGCCCGGTTAGCGTTGTAAGAATATGCGCCTGGACGAGGGTTAAAAAAACTTCAGCGTTTATTTGAATATAATATTATTCTATATGAGAGTTATTTATCAAAATAGGCTTATTCATAAATCGTTAGTCGTTGGAAAAGGTTTTATGAATAATATAATTAATAAGCTTCCTATTGAACTTCATTTGCCTAGTTATCAATTTTGTGAACCTGGAACGAAACTACGGAAACTTTTAGTAAGAGGAGATCGAGGGATTAATCTACTAGACACTGCTTGTAGAGAACATGATATATCATATTTATATAATAAAGATTTAGATAACCGACATATTGCTGATAAAAAATTAATTAAGAAGGCTTGGGAAAGAGTTAAACCGAAGGATAGCAATCTTAATTAGAAAAACAAATGCTTGGTTAGTTACAAATATAATGAAGACAAAAACGAAATTCGGTATGGGGAGCATTTATAGTAAAACTAAGAAAGTGGGAGGAAAAACTGGTTATCATCTCTTCAAACATGCTTTAAAAAGTGCTAAACAAAATTTAAAGAAAAGTGATAACTTAAAAGATGCAATAAATATTTCACGAAAGGTTGTAAATAATATTTTTAGAGGAAAAAAATCTATAATAAAAGCACCACGTGTAATACCATTACCAAATCTGGAGGATTTCTCCCATTAGCGCCTTTATTCGTAGCATTAGGAGCACTTGGAAGTCTATCTGGCGGTACAGCAGGAATTATTAAAACAATCAATGCTATAAAAACTGGAAAGAAGCAGTTATTGGAGGCGAAACGTCATAATAATACAATGGAAGCTATTTCAATGGGAAAAGGAATGTTTTAAAGCCTCATAAAAAGGGAATCGGATTATATTTAAAACCATATCAAAAAAACTCTTAATGATACTACCCAGAAGACCTCTACTGATGTAGACTTAAAGAAGTATTCAAAATTTATTCCAAATTTTAGAGGGGTATTCATGTGTGACACTTTACCCCGTAAACCATTTAAGAGTGAATGTGGAATAATAAATTTGGATAGTTCAAAGGGTGCGGGAACGCATTGGGTAGCTTACTGGCAAAACGATCATTAGATTAATTACTTCGATAGCTTTGGAAACTTACAGCCTCCTAAGCAAATAATAAAGTATTTAGGAAAAAACATTAAATATAACTATAATAAACAGCAAAGCTATAATTCATATAATTGCGGTCATTTATGTTTAAAATTCTTATTATCAAAATAAATAAGTAATTATAAATTTTCTTTTATTTCAAATTAAATTTTATTTGTTCTCATCATAAACAAAAACAGGCCTTTCCATTCATATACACATACATATTAAATACTTAGCAATTAACTATGTGAACATTATTAACACACTTTTCTAGGGGTGGAGCATCTATATATGTATATACATATGTACGTATGTACGTTTGCATATGGATGTATGTATGAGAATACGTATGTATTATGTATACCAATACACTTTACCAATTTTCGACATATAAACCACCTTGTATTGGATTTCTTGGATTTCCATCAGCGGTACATCCTGTGATCGGTTCCGGTTCTGGACTCGGATTTGTCACCAGCGACATCTTGCGGCTTTTATCTGGGTTCCGAACTTGGATTACGATCGGCGACATCTTTTGGCGGAGCAGCAAAGCTTGCGGCGGAGCACCAGCAAACCTTATAGCGGTTCTGGAACCGGAGCAAAAGCAAATCATATAGCGGTTCTGGAACCGCTATATTATTCTACTAAAGGTCAAGTCACTAGATCTCTAGTGAAGTTGGTTCCACTCCCGCCATACAACGATGGAAACTCGGAGCCAACAACCGCCTCATAAAATACCCTTCATTGCCTTTATTATATTCCACTTCCTTTTACAACAACATTCCACTTCTAGGTAATAGGAGGGATTCCATGGCTAACTTTTTTTAGATAACTTGCTTTAGTTTACCAAGGAGTAACTTTTGTTTTTTTTTTGTATTTGCGGTGATGGTTCTTACCCGAATTACCCCGGGCTTATCTGGCTACATAAAAACGACCATCCTCAGATCTGAATTCACTATTAAAATTGCAGTAGTAGCGAACTACTCCACTTCAGAATGAGATGCAAGCGGTCGAAGATTAGCAAGTTTAACGAACGAATTCACGAAATATACTTTAAAATTCTTTCGAATTCCGCGCTAATTATTCGCAACTTTGCTGGTCTTCTAGATTTTTGGTTCTAAACCCAAGAACACCAATGTCGGTTCGACCAACACCGTTTATGTTTTGTGGTGAAGTTTCTTGAAATTAATTTTTTTGTAATTGAAATTTCATTATTTAAACCACAACATAACCGCATAACTTTTGTTTTATTTTACTTAGAAAGTATTAATTTAAGAACATATGGAAAACTTTTTGAGGATTGATGCTTTAAAACTAAAAAAAAAACAAGTAATTTTTAGCAAAAAAAAACCGACTTAAAAAAATATATATCTACATATTTCATGATTCAATTATCGGATCTAAACCAAATTAGTATGGGACCACCTCCGAGACACTACCGCTCGAAATCGGTAGACGTGGTCCAAAGTTATGCGGTAACATACATAAAAAAATAAAATAAAAAAATATTTAGAAGAACTGATAACCTCCTCCTTTTTTGGAAGTCGGTTAAAAAAAATATGCTAAATACTTGTCAGGCGATTCGACAGATAATTAGTGTTTACTTATTAAAAAAATGATTGGTGCCCCGGGGTTAATGAATTCGCATTAAGTTGCAAGTTTAAGCAAATGCCCCACCCGAAGTTTAAAAGGTAAAATTTTTTAAGTAAAATTAGCAGTCATTATAATATTTCAAAAACTCACATAATTTAGGGTCCACTGCGGTTCGATGGAGAAAAAATCCATATTATTCATTTCTTTACGGAACCCTTGATAAAAAACACAAATCAATTAGGTCTCAAATAAACGGTTAACAACAAAAAAAAGAAGGTAAAAACATAAAACTTTGTTACCAGACCAACGACATTTCAAACAAGGATGATAATGGAAGTAGTAGATAACCAGGATACTACCCCGAAGAGAACCGTCAGCTGGACTGGGGACCCGCACGCCAGGCTGGAACCTATACCATTAAATAAACACCCTTAAAACCTCATTTTTATACAGATTATGTGTAGTTGACCACAGTTAAATCGGCGTCCACGGCTGCATTTCGAGCATAATAACTTTTTTTAATTACTTCCAGTGAGAAAAAATCCGGTATCTATACGTATTTTGTTTCTGATTACGAACATAGCTTTTTCAGACCAATACCTTTCAAATCAGTGGAATTAGTTAAATTAATTAAGTAAAAAAAAAAAAATATTTACATACATCGCTCATTAGTAAATCGCAGCAAGATTGTACATTTTTTAAATTTAACGAACTTGTTGATGCAAATTAATGTTGACAAAAAGCAAACGTGGGCCCCAATCCTACTCACAAATTCTTGCTGACAAAAATGTTCCCAGCTTGAATTTGCTACTTCCCTACTACTCAGGGTTAATATCTGTTTGCGTGCTACACGTCAATAAATAGTTGCTACTATAAGCTTACAAGCTAAATATGGTTAAACTAACTATGCATGATGGTTTTTTTTTGTGTCTTTAAAGCCAAAAATTTCAACTTAATTTAAATCGGAGGAGAAGCTCGGCCAAACACTAACATATGTGTAAGCGCCAGTCTGCTATATTATTATATTATTATTATTATTTAAGTTTAATAAATACACGTCGTAAGTAAACCAATTTTTACCTTCTTTACAATTTTGCACGACGTCTTCATCGTTCAGGATATGGTCGATACCCACTTTTTGCGGTTGATGCTTAACTGAAGAGCCCCACACCAAAGCATATTTAAATTCTTTAGCTATTGATCGATGCAGCTTATTACAAAAGTAATAAGCAATTGACCCTTCTGTTTCGTGTAAATTCGGACCAGTTTAAATAATCCCACATCATCTCTAGTAAGTCGTCAAAATTCCAGCGATGATATGCCGATTTTGAAACACAATGCGGAATCTTATAAATAACATCCAGTTCCTCGATGGAAATCTGATCGATTTTGTCTAGAAGATAAAGGCAGGGTATGTAAATACGGCTGCCCACGATAGCACCATAGTCGCATCATATCGCAGCGTTATAACAGCGTTATGTATCTTATATTCGCAAAGGATTGTCATAACTAGATCAGCATCTAATTCAGATTGTTGTACCATGCAATTAAAATTGACACCTCCCTTATCTTTGCGTTTAAAGTAAAATGCCATCGATGTTGTTGTGGAACGCGCCGGTGGTGATATGGAAACTGGCTTGCGTGAGGATAACGAACCGCCACCAGTGCCTAATCCTAACCTCGGCCAACATAATGGGCATCGAAGAATTTTTTAAGCCATTGAAAAAATTCGAAAGTATCTTAAAAACGGCCCTTGATCAGTTTGTCAATTGGGATTATCTTGTCAACTTCCATCTTTTTGAAAGGTGCTTGTAAGATTTTAAAATTCTGAATATATTCATGTTCCAAATTAGCGCGGAACTTGACAATTTTCATTGGTACCGAGCCGGGAAACAGCATATCCATGGACTGGCAATAAGCAGCGCCAGTGCAGAGATCTTCAATTTTACCAAATTGCGCTTGCAGACAATCGTTTACCAATACGAGCATATCACGTCTGGATAAATTGTCGGTAGTCACATTTGTAGAGTACACATTGACTGCCATTGTTCTGAAAAGAAAAAAAAAAACATTAGTGTTAATTACAAATTAAATTTACAAAATTTTACAACCTCTACAACCTTTATACCTGCGATTGCGTAATCTCTCGTGCATGAATGTCCTTTCTATGCCATTCTTCCAATGAAATGAATGAATTTTCTTCATTAGGTTCTTTCCCTAACAATCCGGACCGGATCCGGTAATTAGAGAATAAGCGAAAAGTTTGCTCTCAAAAATGGAACATAATCCAGAAGTACGGGAACGCAAAAAAACACATTTCGTGCCCAGAATTTGTGAAACAGCTAGTGATGTGCTGAATTTTCGGTACCCAACTCGGTACCCAATACTTAAAAAAGATTTCGGTACCCAATACTTCCTTTTCGGTACCCGATACCGATTCTTTACATTAAACCTTCGCCATTATATGCATTTCAAGTTTAGAAAAAACTTTAATTACTAATTTATATGAGAAATATTATTTTATCAGTTTTAATCTTAGTTGATCCAAGGTTCAATAAAAATGCTTTTACGGATGAAGAAGCCTTTCAGGGGGAGATTCTGTAACCAGTTAGCGACAAGTTTCAGATCGCTATCGCACTTGTTGACGTAAAAATATTTCATATCATACGTCAACAAAACCGATGCCGATTCGAAAATTGTCGCTAACTGGTTACAGAATCTGCCCCCAGGCCTACAACAATGATATTGTCCGATTCAGCTGGAACAAAAATACTTCAAACAAGTAAGAGTTTCTCTGCATTATGGCCTCGAACCGACATATATACATCTTTCATTTGAATCCGTATGAAAAGCTCTATTGGCTCCTACATTCGGGTTTTTATAGGCGAGTCTCCCCAGAACCGTTTTTTCCATATTTTTGGCCTATGTGCGCTTTTATTCGAAACCTAAATGTTTCGGTACCGAATATCGATCAATACTTAAAAGTATTGACTCAGCACATCACTAGAAACAGGCAACATGTCAACACAAAACAGCTGATATGCACTTTGACGCTTTATCCGTTTTTACCCGGAGAAAAAGTCAGGGCTGTTTTGGGCAGGAAGAAGAAGACACCAATACGTTCCAATTTTCGCTCTCTATTACCCATTTTGTTGAGTACGGGAATAATTTCTGGGCTATTTTGGCACCCGCGGACTACTCAAATTATTTAGTACGCACCACTGTAACAATTGGAATATTTCACATGATGATTAAAGCAATAACCTTTAACTTAAACAGTAAACAGCTCTTTCAAATTTTTATTTATTTATACATATATAGACAGTATATTCAAATATTGTCAATGTATTTAATTAATTAAGATCATCGTCATCCATACCTAAATATTGACATGAATTAAAATTTTATTATAGAGTAGATTTTTTAATAAAACGGACTAGAGGAGTAGAACGTAGTGGCGTCCTAGTACGGGTGTATAAATTCACATATACATGCGTTCCACAAATGGAAAAAACATATGAATGGTCGCCTCAAATAACGTTGTAAGCGACAATTTGTTCAAAGCTAGTTTCCTTGATTTTAAAGATATTAATGTGTATATTTTATTTTTTTAAAGGCAAGATTCTTGAAGAGTGCTATACCGAAAAAGTAGAAAACCAAATCAAATCCCCGTTTGTGCGTTTGTAAACAAGTTTCTTTTCTATTTTGTAAAATTATAATTTTGTCGCTTACAACGTTATTTGAGGCGACCATTCATATGTTGATGCATACCATCGCACCATTCGATCAATCATTCTTAATCGTTAGCTTTGCTAACATAAATACATTTTACGCACTTGAAGAGGCATTGTCATGCGGAATATCAGTGCACTAACTTTTTATAGTTATTTCAAATATTTTTACGTAAAATTCAAAAGGGAATAAGACATTTTGTAATAAAATTTGAAATTCAACTTATGAATTCTGCTGGATATGAGCTACCCTGTTTTTAGCCGAGTATCCCCTACAGTGGCATCCAGATTTTTTTTTTGGGTGGCAGGCTAGTTGTAGGGTTGCGAGAATGGCTAAAAACTCTCCAAGTGTAGATTAAAACGTTTTCTAAAAAACTTCATGCAATCAAGTTGAACTGCTAATTACGAATATTAGTAGATCAACTCATTAATGGAAATGATCGTTTTCATAAGAGCACTTAATATTGGCACTTCCAAACATAATAAATGCAATTTACAATTTTCGATGTGATAAAAATTTAACTTTGCCAATGCATTCCTGCATAATGGAATGTATGGCACTTGTGCGATCCATACTGACCGAATCTTATTTATCTAATAAAGAAAATTACTATGCCAAATACTTAAAGAATTACCGCCTCAATTACTCGCCACCCAACAATAGTTAAATAAATGGTCTCCAATATGAACGGAATATGAATTTGGAGCGGAGACTCGGCCTCTCCGCCCAAACGTTAATAGGGGATCGGAAACTCGGACTTTCCGACCCTTATTACGACACGAACATCTAAGGATGGCTGGATCGGAAACCAGGCCTTTCCGACCACGCCATCAAGCGCGACGAAATCGCGGAGCGGAAGCCAGGCCAGGTGGTGTATACTGCCTTTCAACTAACTGCGCTCAACGAAGTTGTAAACACCCTATAAAGAATTGCGATCATTATGAAAAAAATCGCTAAAAACTAGCTAACATCTGCTGCATAAACGCGAAAAATTCCGCTAGTCACCGAATTATAATTTCTCCCGCTAGGTAGAAAATAAAATCTCTAGATCTAGTGGGAAAATGCTGAAATGGCAACACTGTAAATAACTTAGAGTGCAGAATACTTTTTGTAAAATATTATTTTTTTGTCACTATTGCAACTCCGCCAATTGCGCATTAGCAACACTATCCCTATTCCCACAACACTGACAAAATTCATCATATGACTATTGTCACAATTACTGCACCAAAAATACAATAGGTTCGTATAGTAACCAATAGTCAGTACTAATTTGTACTGGAACCTGCAAATTTGTACTGGAAAAGTGTATGATAACCCAAAAAATTTGCAAGAGAGCACTGAATCGAGAGCGTAACAACACGGGAGAGCTGCAAATTCTTGCTAGTGAAATTTTTACTAGCAGAAATTAGCTAGCAGAAGAAGAAGAAGAATAAATGTCAAAAGCCGCCATTTGTTGAATTGGTTTAGCACAAACAAAAGTAAAATGAGTGGAAATCAAAATATTAATGATGTACTAGACTGTGTAAGTGCTTGTGTGTAAATCAAAGAGTTTAAAACTGATTTATAAAAAGTAAAATGTTTACAGCAGAATATCAAAATGGTGCAAGAACTATTCACTTGCAAGTTTTTACTAGCTTTGCGTTCAGTAACTTTTTCTGATAGTTTTCTCTTCTTCTCAATTTTACCCTCTATTTTGCTTTTACGCTCTGGCTGCAATGTTTTACTGGAGAAGTTACTATACAAACCTATTATAAACATTGTTTCGCCGTTGTCACTTACTCAGTAGGTCATAACAAAAAAACTGACAGTTGTCATACAACAGCTTAAAATAAATTTGCGGCATAGTATTAGGCGCGGTAGTAAAGGCAAAAGTCAGCCGCTGAGTTTGGTGTGGGAATAGGGCGGTATGAAAACATTAATGTCAGCAATGGAGGCGAATTTAATTCGCCTGGTCAGTACAGCTGAGCAGTGTTGCCACAAAAAATTACCAAATTCCTCAAAACAAATGAAAAATCCTCAAAATCCCAATAAATTACTCAAAATTTTCTTATTTACTATTTACAGGTACTTAGCATAAAAATTAATTACATTCTCCGATTCAATTGGTACATTTGTTCTTGCGGTTCAAACAAAGTATCACCGTTGTTTTGTGTGCCTTGGTTTGTATATAATATTTCTGCAACTGCTCAATCTGGTCCTCAAGTCAGTCCTACACATTTTTAAACTACTAAATATACGTTCTACTGGAGCATTAGAAAATGGCTATATTAGTAATGCAGATATAATTTTTTTAATTGGGAAACTTATATGAACCTGAAGAATCTTTTAATTCAAAAACTTTTTTCCTATAATTTTCTGGATCTAATGAAGACTCAATATGAATATCCTTATGATAGAACAATTCGTTTTTTTTTTGCAAATTCAAAATAAGTTGAACATATAATGATAGAATGAAAAAAATTATCGATAAGATTTTGAATATTTAGCAACGAATGCAATAGTGCTTAAGAGCGAAAAACACCACACACGCGGCCTGACAAACCAAGCGAAATATCCCTTTGCTTAAAGCTATTTAAGTTGTGTATGGGGGTTTTTGAAGGTTTGACAAGCCATTTGAGGGAAATGTGAACAAAAATCAAATTTTTTTGATTTTCTGGTCGCCATGTTGACGTTTGATCAAACCGCTTACGTTGTGTATGATAAAATCACCTCATTCGCAACGGAATTTTTACCGAACGAGGACGCAAGAGAGAAAATCGAAGAAAACCAAACCCTATTACATTTTGAACCGGAATAAAACTAAAATTCTTTGCTTGAACGATTCATGTTTGCACGGTGTATGGCGAAACGGTAAAAGTAGGTTTGAAGAGTGTTTGACAAGCCGGTTGTGTGGTGTATTTCGCTCTTTATAAAACTTCGGAAAGTTTTTTGTTCAAATATTTGCAGAACGATTTAAAAACTCTCATGTGTAAAACATGGTTGCATTTGTTATCTGCAAATATATCGAGAGAAAGTTCCTCAAAAATTAATCAAAATAAAAATCCTCAAAAAATACTCAAGCGTTCCCGAAATTCCTCACGTTTTGACGAGTTACTCACAAAGTGGCAACACTGCAGCTGAGAAGCTCACGAACTGGTTAGTTCAATGCAGTAGGTCATTGAATTGATCGAACGAACTAGTTCGAAATTTTAAATGAATTATTTTCTCCAGGTTGCCGTTTTTTAATTTTACTTATATTCGTTTATATACATGTATTAAATAAGGCAATTATTTATTCATTTAATATATGCAATTATATTTTCCTTAATAAT